CAGCTCAGGGTGAGCCGCTCTTGCCCCTAGTGGCATCTAATAGTGGCAAATCTTTCTGTAGAGAAGACTGGAGGCGGCAAAACCCCACAGAAAGTGGATGGTAAAGATTTGAGCTTGAAACGAGCACGAGAGCTGAGAACTACAGGAAAATAATCTCAAAGACCTAACGAGAACAACTTCCGTAGAAAAGACGGTTTGGGGTAAAACAATATAGAAAGAAGACGATGTCTGGTCTTGTGTAGAAGTGTCACGCATAAGGGTACAGAAAACTTTTTTTTTTCCCCCCGAGCTCTAATGGAAAAGGATTCTCAGCATTTATTGAAAGAAGGGGGTATAGGAAGTTGATATCAGATTTCACTGTGTATCCCATACCCATACTGAATACTTAGCAGCCCTTCTCATGCTAGTTCCAAGCTCAACTCAGGCTTCATTTCTTTCACCCGGACAGGGTATAAGAACTGTGCCATATGGGGGCACCTGGGTGGCTCAGTGGGTTAAAGCCTCTGCCTTCAGCTCAGGTCATGATCCCAGGGTCCTGGGATCGAGCCCCACATCGGGCTCTCTGCTCTGCAGGGAGCCTGCTTCCTCCTCCTCTCTCTCTCCGCCTGCCTCTCTGCCTACTTGTGATCTCTGTCTGTCAAATAAATAAATAAAATCTTAAAAAAAAAAAAAAAAAAAAAGAACTGTGCCATATGATACAACTTAGGGCACTTGCACGTACAAGTTTCTGTCCAAGAGGGAAGAACAAGACCTCCACCGCTATAAAGCTTGGCTGTGCCGGCAACACAGTTGTTAAGGGCTGAGAGCCAGGACCCATTTCTGACGTCTCCCTATTAGGCTTCTGGTCCCTGTAGCTCACCGACAAACCTTAACTATAATTGCATTCATCTCCACTTTCTGAATGAAGAGCCTTTTCAAGTCTAACCCATCCTATTTTCCAGACCCTTGCTTCTTTGGGAACCATGGCTGGATCATTATCACCTTTGATTGAAAACACTTCAGAAGTTCCTGGGGGCCAGTTAACACTGCCTGGCTATGGAGGTCCTGCCAACCAGGTCCATGGGGAACCTCAAAGTACTCCATCTCTCCTCTTCCTCTGTTTAGCTACCTCCCACTTCAACCAACCTGAATAGGAATGTCCCTGGGTTCCTGGGTATCTTTCTTTTGCTTTTAGATGTTTCTCTAGGCTGAGGTTGTGACACCCACATCATGTCTGCATGCCCAAATTCCATCCAACCAGCATAGCCCAGGTCAAAAGCCTCATAAAACCACAGCTCCTTCTCTAAAATCCTGTTTTTACTTGTATTTTTCATGTGAGGCCTATGACTAATTTCCTATATTTTTAGTCATTTGTACCCTGGTATAATTTATTCTGAAAACTCAAAACTTCATAATTGCAGGGGCTCCAGAGACTGGCATGAACTATGGAAATTAGTGAGTACACAATAAAAGGTGGTTGAATAAAAAAATGCATAAATCATTCTTCTCTTTTATACTCATAGAGAGGTATGCAGGATCATTAGAGATAACTTCAAACAAAAAACTACTACAATAATTTTAGCTGTAAAATCTTTCAACATTAAGAATTAAAAAAAAAAAAAAAAAGCCCAGAATAAGAATTAAAAAAAAAGAAAAAAAGTCCAGGCTCATATACTCATGGAGGAAAGTGTGTGCACTAGGGTAGTTACCAAAAGATGTCACAGTTGGAAGGAGTGTTGTGATATTACACGTTGACATACAATGTAGTTCCTATACAGATAAAAGAACAGTATTTGTATTCTTTTCTTAGGAGTCTCTGATGTAATGTTATATTTATTTTTTTAAAGACTTTATTTATTTGACAGAGAGAGAGAGAGATCACAAGTAGGCAGAGAAGCAGGCAGAGAGGAGGGGGAAGCAGGCTCCCTGCTGAGCAGAGAGCCAGATGCAGAGCTTGATCCCAGGACCCTGAGGTCATGACCTGAACTGAAGGCAGAGGCTTAACCCACTGAGCCATCCAGGTGCCCCTAATGCAATGGTTTAAAATATAAGTTCCTCATAATATTAGTCTTTTGATATAGTCTGTGAAGGTACTGTGCTTGACTAAGTTTGAGAAGCTGCAAAATCTGCCACCCACTTGGGAACTCATAGTCTAAAGTGATATTGTAAAGCTTTCCAGAAATCAGAATCTTTAAAAAGATTGCTTAACCTTCATTAACCTTGTTTCCCAACCATCATTATCCTTGCAATAGTCTTTCTCAGATAACAGCTATCCGTAGCCCAAGGGAAGGGTCGACCATGGAAAATATTTTAGAAACTACTGTTCTAAGGTATTAGTTGGGAACAAAACCTGAGCTATTTGTTTTAACTCTGCCCTTAGGGTGAGATATTTATAATGCTTTCTTTCTGGTCTGTAAGTTATCAAGTCACCTGCGATGACAAGTGCCAGGCTAGCAGTGAGGGGTGGGCCCATAGTGAACGGTGCAGACTGTGTGCACAGAATACAGGTAGCAGATGATGCAGGTTGAAGACATCCCACCACACACTAGCTTCTGGCTAAACTGGAAGCAGAGTCGAAAAGTGCATTTGTTAGACCTCAAAGCCATTTCTGTTGCAATGTTCTTCCTTCCCCGATTGTTTTTGCTTTGTACTTTGAATCTCTCTTATAAAACAACTCTGGCTCATGCGTACCCTACTTATTTTTGTTATAATGATTTATAGCTTTATTTTAAATCCTCCAACCATACTTATAATTAATTGCATAATTCCATTTCCGTAATGTTATATAACATGCTCTCCTATCCCACTCGACATCCTGTGAAACTATATTAAAACAATAAAATAATTATGGCTGAAATTCATTGGCATCCTGGTTAGAACATTTAGTTCCAACTATTGCAGAATAACTAAGTGTATGATAAAACTTACAAGAATAAATCTAAGTGCTTTAAATTTATTTGTACTCATTTGGAATGGTGCCACATAATTAGGATATAATCAAGTATGCAATAAAAGTTTGCCAAATACATGAATGCATAAGTTACTCTTGTTCTCATTTACATTCACAGAGAGGATCATAAGGGATGACTGTATCTATATATTTATATAGTTACATATATATGTATCCATGTCTCTCTATATAAGCTTATGAACTGAATAATATGTAATTGCAAAATGTGATTGTGAAAAAATTATTAGCCAACATGAAAAAAATGAATGTTCTGATGATAAATTAAATCCTGGAAATGCATCACTGATAAAGCCATCTCTCTATGCAGCCATCTCAAATATTCTAATGTAAAAGCATAACATAAGATTTGGGATAACATAATGTTAGGAATCAATACTTATTGGAAGGTGGACAAGGCTCGGCCTGAAACAGTATTTAAAGGGCTTTATGAAGGAAAAGTCAAATATCTCAGTGGGAAAGAGTGTGGCACGTTTGTAGGAAAGGGACCAAAGATAGGGAAGGCCTGTCTTTTCCACAAGCATGATGTATGTTTCAGATAAAGAGGGCTCAGTCATGCTAAGAATCATTAGAGAAAAGATAAAAAATTCTCAGAATTCTGTGAAGAGAAGATAAACATTCAGACTCATATTAGGATCTTTGCGTTTGGGATCTACCAATGTGAGAGAGCTAAATGGAGGCTGTATTTCAAAAGAATATCTCTGTTGGTCAGCTTCCTCCTTCCATTAGGGGAAGGTCTTAATTAGGCAAACAGATTGCTCCTTCTCAGAGCAGCTATTGTTTTAATAGCTCCTCAGCCTATTGGTTTAAAGGCTCAACAACAACAACAAAACCAAATCCTCTTTTTATAACCTTTTTTTTTTTTTTTTTTTTTTCCCATGGGTAGGGCTTATTTACAATGAAGAATTCAGGAGACTGAGATTTGGGTCAATAGGACAGATGTCACAAGGAATGAAGCTAATGAGAGTATGTGTAGAATTTCTCTTTTAAAGGAAAAAGAAAATGAGAGTATAAAATTAAGAAATGGTAATCCTAGGTAGAGTTTTTAACTAGAAGTTTCATGCTATCTCCAACTAAGCAACATGAAAATGGAATGATCTAATATGGGGAAATGTGATAATATGAAGAAAAGTGGGAAATATCCAGATATACTCTCCAAACCCCTCTGATTGGTAATAATGCTTTTTAGACAGAAAGTAGAAAAGAGAAAACTATTAGTCATTGCACAGTGATAGCAAATTGGAAGCTGTGGGGTTCTATTCTCCCCATTAAATACCTCCCAGAGGGGCCAACGCTGACATTTGGAGTTACGTTATTATTTTTCAAAGGTTGTCATAAACCAGTCTTACCTTCAGAATCTACAGGGGATTAGATAAACATTTTAGGATTAGATAGGATCGGCTTCTTCTAAATGTTTTTTTTTTTTTTTAGTGTTTTTTTAAAAATGTTTTAAAAAGAAGTTCCATTTTTTTTCTAAATGTTCTGAGTCTTTGTGACTAAATTATTGTTATGTTTTACCTTCCTTTCAGTTGCCAGGATAAACATTAGCACCTTTGAGTTACTGACCCCAAACTAGTGGCACTTTACATTGTATGACCCAATATATTCAATAGAATTAGACCACACCTCTTCCAATTACCCTCTAAATGAAGAAATCTTGTTTTTCAGGTAGATGGTGGAAGTTCAAAGAAGACAGAACAGGGTTTGGTCTAGAGCTGCTATTACAAGTCACTCAAGTTTTCTGATTTGGGGAAGTATAGCTACACATATTCAGTACTCCCAGAGCTAAAATCAAAATACACATTTCAGAAATGTGAAGTCAATGAATGTTGGAAATGGAAGTCATCTTATTCCTAGGGCCCCTGTAGTATTAGGACAAGAAACTATAGTTGGCTAAGTGTTTGCCTACCACCTCTCCCAACGTGATGCCAGATTTACAAATATCTGGAACTCCTTTATTGTGCATTACTCATAAAATAGTGTTTGAAGGGGATAACAGTGACACAGAGGCAAACAAACACGTACTGGAAGAGAGAGTGAACCAAACTGGTGGTAAAAACATGACCTTCCTCCATAAGGTCAAATAGTTTTATTTTGATTAAACACTACAATACAGTATATATCCATTAAAAAAGAAAACTCTATAATGTATATAAATTATTCCTTCCATTCATCAATTCTTTTCTTTTCCATTACAGCTTTGGTACAATGTGATTTCAGTATATAATTTTTAAATACTTTTAGCATCACAAACTCAACACAAAGTACAAAACTAATAATCCAAATTAGGGATATTATAATCTACACAGTGGTATTCAGTGGTAGGAGAAAATCTTACCTTGATGAATTCATGTCACTAGCTAAGCTATAAAGGCATACCTAGCAGACATGACAGAAATATGCACCATTAACCAGCTAATGTGTGTATTAGTCTTTGTTTTTTTTGTTTGTTTGTTTGTTTTTGTTTTTTTACAGAATACCAGCAGCAATCATTTGAGTGTTGAGTGAATACTTAAGTCCTCAGCCAGTCTCCCACCTTGCTCCTCTTCCCTTAAAGGCCATGAGGAGGATCACAAGAAATGTACCACAGCCAGAGCACTCAGAATTTGACCTGCCACCCGGTGTTGCTCATAGTTGCACAGTTTGTCCTGCAGCTAGCCGACATCACGGGGACAGTGCTGGAGGGGCAGTGTGGACCAATCAGCCTAAGGTTGTTCTGAGGGGTCGGCGGTGTGACATTACAGTAAACAGGCATTCCAGTGGCTGGGAGTGACCCTTGACCTGCCTGGTTAGGTAGCATGATTGGCTGTTGGTATGACTGCTGGGGCAGTCCTTGAGAACCCTGGGTCATTGGCACCTGCAGAAGACACAAGAGAGAGCCCTTCATGAAGAGGTTTTGTGTGCCTGTCCTGTGAGCTACTGTGTGGTCAGGAAAAATACTCAAGCGTTTGGGTCAGACCTAACTGGTCACCTATCCCAGTGTTCCCTTGTATCAGCTGTTTTACCTTGGGCAAGTCACTCAACCTCTCTGGTTGCCTAGACCGTCCGCGTAATGACACCTATGCCAAGAGCCACTAAAAAGACTGTAAGCCTGATGTACAGTGCTGGGACACATGTGGTGATGGTTCACAAGGTGTTAGTCCTGAGCTTCCTTCCTTCCTTTCCCCTTACACGCTGGGGACTGCAGTCTGGACTGCTGGCTCAGAATTTCTGTTTGGAAAGCGATACTCCCATTCTGATTCCATGCACACTAAGCAGCGGGAGCCATTCAGCAAAGGGAGCTTTTGTCCCAGGCACCTGGCTCAGTCTCAACCTGCAGCTTTAAAGAACATCTAACGTGGACCTGGAGGTAGAAATTGAGGCAATGGGTGCAAAGATCTTCAGAGGAGGAGGGCAAAGGATCAGGATTTTATTTTGTGCTGTTTTGTTTGTTTCTTTGTTTGAGGGCCAGAAGTAGCTGGTGAAGCTAAATTTAACGGTCAAAGCTTTTCACTAACACTTCCACTTCCAGTGTATCTCAGAATGTAAATCACAAAGGATGCATGGCATTTTTTAAGTACCCAGTATGGGTTGAGTCTAGAAAATGAGGTTGGTATAGGACCTATCCATGCCCTTTGAACAAATCTGAGATGCCATTTAAACATCTCTTTTAACTTAAAATTGTGGTAAAATGAAGTTATGCAGGCTGCGTACAAAAATGAGTGGAAATTTGTCATGAGGGCTTCTTCCTGATGAACAAAATTCCATTGGGAGAGCCAAAGGTCTTCATGAATAAAACATGATAGGCTACAGATTCTTCTTCCATAAAGAAGTTTATATAGAGCCACATTTAGCAGACATTCAAAAGCCACAGTAGTTAGAGAAGCATACCTGTCCCATTTTCTACTTATAATCTTAATTCAAAGTCAACCATCAACAGGGGCTGGGCATAGCACCCACCACCCCGCTAACCACCCAACACGGGACATACTCACAGCCTCCACTTTGGCCAGTGCTACTTTCTAAACCACAATTTTCCAAGCTGCTGATGTGCACCTGATAAGAAGACATTGCTGGGTAGGAGACCATCACGCTTTGCACCGGAGCTCCTGGCTGGTTGCTCATCACGCTCTGACTCTGGGGCGGCTGCTGCACTCCTATGAGGCCTTGGAACCCCTGTTGACCAGACAAGACTGGCTGGTAACCTGCAAAGAAAAAAACACCTTTTGAACTGGTTGCACCAGGAAGAGCACAGGTGATATTTCATGGGCTAAGAGCACTTGTTCCCTAGTCAACCTTCAGACATCTCGCTCTCCCTATCGGCAATGTGTTATCCAAATGATTATTTCCTAAGAATGCGGTTTTTTGCTCTAAGAGTGGACAAGAGTAGGAAGTCACAAAATTCGCTGGTATTTGCATCCTTATGCAGAATGGCCCAAATGAGCACGTTGTGACAATGGTAGATTGTTTTATGGCACAAACACCATAACCTCTATTCGTATTTTATAGCTATCAATTATATTTCTCACGATTTAGTGTGTGCTTTGTTTCAATGATATTTGGAGTATTCACAAATTATCAAGTTTTTTTTCTAATTAAATTGACTCATTCTTTTACTATCTCACCTTTCTGCACAAACTCATTTTACCCGCAGATCATCAAACTCCCTAATAACTTTTTATTTTCCATGTTTTAGTGAATAAAATGATTCACTACCCTGACTAATTCAATGTCCATGGTCTTGGACAAAATGCAGCAACAAGAGAAAAATATGGCATGCTTCTATTCTGCTCCAACACCAGCTCCCAGGAGAACATTCTGGTAAAACACTCTAATAAGTGATCATGTACATACAATAAATAATACAGAATATAGCACTCAAAAAATTTTGTCCATCATATCCTTATGAGTAGGTCAGTTGCTCTGGTTTCT